AGCGTTGTTGTAAACGAACGTGGACTTTTGTAAAGACGAACTATTGCGACGTAAAGAAGGAGCAAGAACAGGAATGCAATAAGCAACAAAACAAAGTAATAAGAAAAAGAAAATAAGAAAATCAATAACATTCCTACACCCCTAAAACACACACACACACTTAAACTCTCTCACACATACACCTCCTTCCACCTCCCCCCCCACACACACACCTTCCACACACAGACACCCTAACCACTTACTGGCTCCACTTCCACCAAACCCCTTCCTTAAAAGCCAAACATGTACATCCCTAAAGAGAGTCCCTTAACCCTGGGAAAGACTCAGTCAAACGATCCCTTGCAAAGTCTCGCTTCGGTGGAACTAGTGTTTAGTTTCTGGCCAGCGTCGAGGCTAAGGTTTCGTCTCGTAACGTTGAGAGGTCGATATGACTATACGAACAGAAATGTATACATATCTGCGGTCGACGGCTGTCTCACTGGCTGGTGTGTGTTTTTGCGTTTATTTTATTGTTTTTTGCTATTTTTCATTTTATTATTTTTTTCTTTTTTTTGTGGGAGAGAAATTTAAGTGTTTGTTTTTTCTTTTTTTGGGTTGGGGGTCTGTTCGTTGGTTGTTTCCTTGTTTTGATATTTTATTAAATGTCCTTTTATTATTATTGTTTTTATTGCAATTCATCTTATCCTATTTTTATCGAGGTTTTTGGGTTCTTCCTACCTCGACGACAGCGCTTCGGAAATAGAAGTCACCTGGAACAGCGAGTCATTTTCATACTTTCACCTTAGGTCTCGGAGGACAACCCGTGTAGTGCAATTGTTCAGAATATTCGCCAGGGCCTCTCCGCAGCCGCCACACGCAGCCCCAGAGCAAGCAGAGATCCCCGAGATAATCAGGGCTTTGGTCATGCCGCCGCCCACACGCCCGAGGTCGCCGTGGATGCCTTCCTAGCGCGGCGTTGAAGTCTCCGGGATCCTCGCGGAGGGACCCACGCTACGGAATGTTTTTATTTTCTATTTTTTTCCTTTCTTTCAGGTACGATTCGGTTGTGGTATATCGTTCTGTGTACTAAGTTTTTTTTCTGATATATTTATGGTATATTGCCGTATATAATTTGATTTGTTTTTTTTCTAATAGAGATTCCTTAACGATATATTGCCGTATGTAATAAGCTTTTTTTTTATATATGATGGATCTATGCTATATCATCCAGCGTAAGGAGCTTTTTTTGTATATATAGATTGAATTGAATATTTAAGACCGATGGCTGAACACGCTAAACGAATACCTTAGTCTCCCCTTCTCTCATGGTTCACGCGAAAATAGCCTCTATGCCTCTGGTTTTCCCCGCCCTAGTACCTCGTTTCAGGCTTCCTATCTCTCTCTCCTTCTCACCTAAAATGCTGTTTCCACCACGTCGATAAAACCGGGCACGCTTTTAAGAACTTTCGTGTGGTTTTTAGTTCGTCTTTGCGTCACCTTTGCTTCCTTTGTCTTCCTTTTTCCTCTCGCCTCCTCTTCTTTGTCTTCCTAATTTCTCTTTCCTCCCCTATTTTGTCTTCCTCCTTCTTCCTCCTCCCTTAATTCTCTCTTCTACTACCTCCTGTCTCCCCTCCCTCTTCTTCCCCTCCTCCCCTCCATCCACCTCTCTTTCTCTCCTCTCCTCTCCCTCCCGACTCCCTCCCTTCCTCAACCCCCTCCCCCTCCCTATCCACTTCCTCCCCTCCTCAACTCCCTCCCCCTCCTTACCCCCTCCCTCCCGTCCTCAACTCCCTACCCCTTCCAACCTTCCTCCTCTCCCCTCCCTCCCCTCCCCTCTCCCCTCCCCCCCCCTCCCCTCAAATCAGCAGAAGATGGAGGAGCCAGAAGAAAGGAGAGGGAAAATATGTGAAATATTAACCTTCGTTCTTCCACTCCGCGAACCACCACCTCACCTGCCCGTCCTGAGGCCACGCTCGCCGAACCATTATATAACAAGCATCGATCACTGACCCCCCCCTTTTGCTATGAGTTTTGCGTTCCCTTTTTTCGAGTTTATATGATATCCACGAAATTGATTTGATGTCTGGAGTGATTGGGTGATGTTGGTTTGATTCATTTTCATATGGAACGGATTTTTTTTTCTCTTTTTTTTTTTTTTTTTTTGATTGATGTAAGGAAGAAAATTCAAGGACGTTTTGTACTCAACGTAGCATGAATGAGGTCTGGGTGTAGCTATAATACTATTAGAAATAATTACATTATGCTTTCATTTCTCTTTATCTCTCTCTTTCCTCTTTTTTTCTTTTTCCTTCCCTCTTTTTTTCATTTTCCTAGCTATCATCCAAAATAGTTTACCTTTATTTTACAAGGATCGTTAGTCTCATAAACCATAGTGTTTTTTTTTTTTTTTTTTTTTTTTTTTTTTTTACAAAATCACCTTATTTTCCTCTTAAAAAAAAAATCTTTCTGTTTCTTTGTGTTTCAAGTTCTTTTTTCTTTTTCTTTTTTTTCCCTTTTCTTT